TGAGGTGCCTGATCGCGGTCGATGGGAGACCCAGTGGGGGAGCTGGATGACCTGCAGACCAGGGCTAGGGCAAATGAAGCGGGCCACAAAAGGGGGAAAGGAAAAGAAAAAGATAGAAAGAAATAAAAGAAAAAAAAGAAAAAAAAAAAAAAGCGAGGGAGTGGGGAAAAGAGGGAGTGGGGAAATTGAGGGAGATGAGGTAAAGAGGCAAGGAACGGTGAAGATCTGGTCAAAAGATGGCGAGAGATGGGAAAAGATGATAAAGAGATCACCGAGTAGACACGGTCAAACATTGGCGATACCGTCTCCGGGAACGGGATGCGCAATCTGTGCGGGCATTAATCTGTTCCGATGCCCAGGCGGGCGCGTCACTTCACCGCCTTCTGGTCAGTCCCTCTGATCGTTATTTGTTGTCCTGGGCCATCAACATTTGCTGGTGCTCGGGAAGGCCCGGGACTAGTCCTTGAGGAAGCTGTCCAGGGGATCAATTTGAAGCAATATTATGTCCTCGGTTTTCAACCTCTGAGCTAAGGGCGTTAAAGTAACGAGATCCACATGGTTATACTGGCTTTAGATGAGATGTTACTCCAAAACACCAAGGAAGTGAGCTTTATCGCGCGGGTTGATGGTTGTGTATATCAACAGTCTGTACATGAGGGGTTAACTATATATATACATCCTGATATACCCATAATGACCAAAACCAGCTACTCCGAAGTGTCAGGTACAACCGGCTTTTGTTGGTTCTACGAGACACAAAACTCAGCAGGCGCACCAAGCTTGAATACACTGTAGTTAGCCGATTTGACAGGTTGGTCTTGCCAACATGTTCGCTATTACGGTCGGAACCCAGGTAAGTGGAAAGAACTCATGTTGAACCAATTCCATCAACTCACCTTTGGAAAGGGCACCCAGAATGATAATTCAGATTGGGATGAGGATGCGTGTTCCGACGTGAGTGGTCTGCAAGCACTGTCTCCATTATTCTCACTTCCGTATTGTAGCTGGTCAACCGTCTCGGTAAAGTATTGCGGCGGATCGAACAACTTGATAGTATGCAGAAAGCGGAAGTCCTGATGCGGGCTCAACAAGGAGGATTTATCAGATGGCACATTTTGAGCGCCGAACAGAAAACCATATCCTCCACATACGGGGCTCGTTGCTTGAACACCTTCCAAGTAGCTAATGTTGAAAACGCCGGCTTTAAGGATCGTTTTGAAATGCGGGAGGCCAACCAGGACGAGCCTTCAGTGCTTCCGGGTAGGAAAGGTGTCCATCCTGTTATTTTCCTAGCACTCCTGATCAGACCAGGCTAACTATTATCTTGTCCGAAGGGAATAGTACCATGGTCGCCACTCAGCTCACTCCAACCCCTCCGTTTGTCCCGTACCTACCGATGAGTGGACCCAAGCCTTTGTGCCCTGCAGATAGCATCCTACTGTACGTTGTCCCTATTCCATGGATGGGCAATGAACATAGCCACGGTCATTGCCCAGGCGGCCGAACGGGGCAACGCTTGGACGTGGATATGACACCTGTTGAACGTGCTCTTTCCACCCCGCCAAGTAGAACTCCTCTCACTTCCCATCCAGCCCCTGGAATTGCTGCGCCCGCAGAGACTGTGTCCACACCTGGGCTCTACGGGAGATATTCTTGCCATTCGACATCTTCCACTATGGGTGGTGGCCCTTCCCCTGGGGAGAGACTCGCAGATTTTGGACGCGCTATACGGGACCAACCCAGCGCAACGACAGGAGTAATGAAACCCCACCCAACAATCATCCACTTACTGCAATCCTGTGTAGATTGTGGAAAGGAAGTACCCAAGGACAGTGTTCGGAAGATCTTGAAAGCGGAAAGGTATCTTTCCCCACCGACTGCTCCTGAACTACTTCGGCCCCTCTTGGGGGTGTGGGACAATAACATGTCGCTCGGCCTGCACGCACTTGGACTTCCCGTCGTCTGGTAAGGGCTGCAAGGAATAGTGAACTACCTTCGAGTTCTCGACGCGGACGAGAGAGATCGATTCCTTGATCCTGTTGCAAAGCGTATTGGACTGGTCTTACTCTACTTCAATTACAAGGAACTCTGTGAGCATCCCGAAAAATACTGCCCTGCCCCCATACAGAAGCCACCCAGGTCTTATGTCCTCAACTGTATCCTGGATGCGTACTTTGATGACCCTCGAACATCCAAGCCACGAAAAGCCCGTCGTGATAAGATATCAGGCAATTATGTGAAACGCGGGAAGTGGTGGTGGATGCTTGCAGGGACACTGGGAGTTGGCATCCTGTTGATCGGGGACGATCGCCTTATGAAAAC